TACTGGTCTGCGTGCCACTGGTACGTTTTAAAGTCCATAATAGTCCTACTTACACTTTAGCATCTTCATTCATAAATAAAGGTACCGTACAGTGTGATCTTTGGCCTAGCTTAGTTCTCCCATTTCAGATGGCCAGGGCCATGGGCCAGGACCATGGGCCCGGGCCACCCTGAGGAGCTGCTGTCATGGCTTCACTGTACCGGGCCGCCCTGAGGAGCCACTGTCATGGCCTCACCGTACTGGGCCACCATGAGGAGCCGCTGTCATGGCCTCACTGTACCGGGCCGCCCTGGAGAAGCTACTGTCTTGGCCACGCAGTCCTGGACCACGCTGGAGGAGCCACTGCAGTAGCCACATGGCCCTGGCCCAGCCCTGGAGGCGACACTCACACAGCCCCACCACTGCTGTCTCCTCCCACTGCCAGGCACGGTGCAGACTAACCTGGGAAGGGAGAGGGCTCCAGTGGCAGTCCACTGCATGGTGGTGGAGGGAGCTAAGCTTCCTGTGTGCCACTTATGGCACACGTGGTGTAGGTTGCTGACTCCTGATCTAGGGGAAGTGCGCTGCTGCACTGCTGTTTCCCCAGCTCGAGGGGAAGCAGCAGCAGCACACAGAGCAGCTTCCAGCTGCCCCTGCCCAGGACACCCAGCACAAGGAGGTTCAAGTGTACTCTCTACATCTGTGGCTCAGCATGATTTTAATTAGCTGGATGTCCATTTATCATGGGTGTGGCCAAGTTTCCCTAGGGCTCCATGATGTTTGTCTACAGCCCCCAATCCTGGCTCTCAGCGTTCTGTGCAGTGACTTCGCTCTAATTGACCCCTAACGGTTGTCTTAGAGTTCAGTAAGCAGTGGAAGTGTTGGTAATGCTACTAGATTCTGTGGCTCAGCATGATTTTAATTAGCTGGATGTCCATTTATCATGGGTGTGGCCAAGTTTCCCTAGGGCTCCATGATGTTTGTCTACAGCCCCCAATCCTGGCTCTCAGCGTTCTGTGCAGTGACTTCGCTCTAATTGACCCCTAACGGTTGTCTTAGAGTTCAGTAAGCAGTGGAAGTGTTGGTAATGCTACTAGATAGTATTCACCTCCTGTGGTTCGGCAAATTCTCCGGTTTGGCACCAGTCAGATCCCGAGGGTGCTGGAGTAGAGAAGTTTAACCGGTAACAACTAACCAAATGTAGCCCTTTGGTGCCTGTGTGTTATTCCCTAGATCATGTTGTGTCGTGTTCTGCAGTGAACACATTTATTTCATTTGTACAAGCGAAATGCTTGGGACACAAAATGCAGGAGTGCACTGCACAGCATCGGTTTAAGTCTATGGCCTTATCAGAGTTCTCTGATAACCAAGGACAGCACATGAAAACTCCTCAGCTGGGGACCAAAGGAGAAAGATGCCAGAGTGTTTTTTAATTACTTTTTATATTGAGGGGGAGGAGGTCTCAGTCATTGGTAGATGTTACAATAGCATTTTAATATCAACAGAAAATTGCCTTCACAAAGGCTACACAATACAATTTTCTACTTTGAATATTTTCTAGATTATCATTAAAAAATCATCATCGTTCAGCAGCTAGCTTAAACGGCCAAAAGCAAATGGGAGTCATGCTGCGAAGGAGCTGTACTGCACAGTTACCTTTTACATTCTAACTGTGCCCTCCTCGGTGTCAGACAAACATTGGAAGACAATCCAAGTTTTGCTATGTTATTCCCGTCATCGCTTTGTTACACAAGTGCTTTTCAGAATACGCTTTGCCACTTCCCCAGACTGGGAGGAAAGGGGAGAGACGTTATCCTGGCAGCTTTGAGGAATAAAGCAGCATGTAAAAAGAATAGGATAATACCTCTCCAATGACATGCCTGTTGCCCCAGTCAATAGTACAAATGGTGAGCATTTCCTTTCCATTTTCAGCATTGTTCATTTTAAAGCAACCTTTACGGGCAAGCTGGATAGTTCGAGCACTGATGGGTATTTAAAGCCAACAACCAATGAAATAAATTGAGTAGGAATAAACAGACAGTGGCAGTAATGAGAGAAGACAGGCCCACTTCTGATCTCAACAATCCTTTCACAAAGGTTCTTTTTAAAATGAACTACATTTCTGATGCACAATTAAATGATGGCATATTTTGCCTAATTTGTTTGATTACCGGTGTAACAGATGAAGTGAATCAAGCAACTAACCACTGATGAGAGGGAAATATTTCTGCAGGTGCTTCAGGGCTGGTGGAGAACAGAGGTCCTATAGAAAATACAACCACACAATGCATCTCCAATGAAATGCTAAAAATCTTTGCTTATAATCTTCCAACAAACCATAGAGACATTGAAACTCTGTCTCAGTGGGAGAATCCACACTTTGCAAGTCTGATTTAGATAAGCCTGTTGCATCACACAAAATCTCTATCATCTTTAATAAAAGACTCTTATCTGACTTCCTCAAACCAGAAACAACAGAGAACACATGCAAGGCTTTTTCTTCACAAACAGTTGCATTTATTCACTCATAAAACCGACTATTACCTTGAAATCAGGAGTATACAGATTACATAGAACTTTCTGAAGTTGGGAGAACGAAAAAGTAAATACATCTAACTTCTGATCACTGTTGAGAATGATAGTGGCACGTCCTGCTGTAAGGTGTTTGCTGAAAATGGTTTTTCCCTGAGTGAATATCATCCTGACAGGGTACCAGACTAAGCGCTTTTTTGACAGCAGCCATTCAAAGTTCAGCACCCACTCAACTGTTACCTACACGGGCTCACCCTCAGGGCTGAAGGTGAAAGCAGTATTTAATGATGTTATACACAAAACAGGCTGCAGAGTTCTAGGAATACTAGGGAAAGCACAGGAGCAGGAAGGTACTCTTTGATTCTCTTTTCCTTGCTCGGGTCACAATTTTATGCAACAACTTTAGACCTGATACTTAGATCCTGGCAGGCAATAGTGAGCTTGCAGGTACTTTCTAATGCACTTTCCTACCACTACTGGCCATATGGGCAGGTATTACAGATAAGGCTAAGATTTTGTCACAGGTATTTTTAGCCAAACACAGAGACAGGTAACTGACAAAGAAAAATTAACAAAAGCCCACGACCTGTCCCTGACTTTTACTAACAAATCCATGACAAAATGGGGAGGGCTCAGCTGCGGGGGCCAATTGGAGGGAGGATAGGGGGGCTCCCACCACCTGTAGTGGTTCAGAGCTCTGAGATCCCATCCCTAAAGCAGCCAGGAGCTCAGGCCTCCCTCTGCCCACAGTGGCTGGGTGCTGCAAGGTCATCCGGCCACAGAGGCGCTCTGGGATACCACTGCCACCCAGGGCTTACTGAGGTCACTGGAAATCACGACTTCTGCAATCTCTATGAAAAAAAGTCATAGCCTTAATTATAAATATTAATGCCTGTACCCACCACAGTGTTTTATTCTACCAATTACAACTGGAGGTGTAAGCATTAGGAAAGCAAGGGGGTGAGTTAAAATCCTACTGATGACAAGATTCTTAATAAGGTCTTGTTCTTCATGTTATAAAAAATAAACAGAAAACGACACAGTTTTTGTTTGCTTAGTCTTTAATTTAAAACAGCACCAGTCTACACACAGTATTAAAAAACAAAAACAAAAAAAAGGAGTCATACCAGGTCCGATCAGTCATCCATTTAGACTGTTGTTATGAACTGGGCCCTTCCATGAAACTTCCACCGTGTATCTATTTGAAAAGGAAGATTTCTTCCTCATCTCAGCGAATGATCAGCCAATTCCCTGACACTATCCTTTATAAACACTTGTCATTCTTATCTTACCAAGAGTAAATTCAGATGAACAAGTGCTCCCTCGGGAATATATGCTTGAAAAATTTCAGGTTCTTAAATTTAAGCTGATTGAAAAAAATAACTTTCAGGCATGAGAATGAACACACACACACACACACACACACACAAATTTTCAGAAGGGTGAACATTAAAGAGTGCTACTAGAACTCCTAAAAAACTGAGGTATTAACATGAAAGAGCAATTGACTATTCACTATGGTTTGGTAACATTAACTGGTGCCACTCCAGTGTAAAGTCTGACTGAATTCATTTAGCCGGTTTTTACACTCTTATGTCCTTCAGAGTCTTTAAACATTGATACTATCCTCCCTGTAGGAAAAACTGACATTTAATATATAGGAAACACCGATATTTACTCCAAGAGCCATCAACAGCCAATTTTGAAAGGACTGAGTGGGCTCTGAACTGTGAAAATACATCAAGCAGCGCATGTGTTGTCATTCATATGAGATATTTGATGGGTTCTAGATGGACTATGTTTATCCTGTGAAGTACCATCCTGAACCTTGACATCCATGAGAGTTTTGCCAAGGCTTCCAATAACAGCAGGATTATACCCCTACTGCCAAAGCCTCTCAACTCCCCCTGATTTTAGGAAGGGGGTGGAAATCAAATTTTCAAAAGAAATTGGTACCCAACTGCCATTTTAGCCATATAAATAAATTACTAGACTTTCTAGACATGCTTAGCACCCGACAGTTCCCATTGTTCTTAATGGGCACTGGGCATGTCTGGAAAACCTAATCAACAGCAGGTTACTCTTACCAGTAACTAACTAAAAAAATTTTTCAGTGTGAAATGTTCCTGCCCCATTTGTATGGATTTGGAACCCTTTAGCTGGCAGCAACCATTGGGGCCATACATGGACTCTGCATACCTGTGACCGCTCATCTGAGGGCATGGAGGCTAATGCAATCCCAAACACCAAAAAGGGCTTGTCCACATGGGGAGTTATTCCAGAATAGCTCTTCCAGATCACTTCATGTGCAGACTCTCTTTATCCAAAATAAGAGTGTCTTATTCCAAATTTGTTTAAAGTAGAGTAAGCAGATTTGGAATGAGGCACTTTTATTACGGAATACAAAAGTGTTCACACATGGAGTTAACAGGAATAGGCAATCCACTTTCAATTTACACACAAACTTACTCTATGTTAACCTTCATGTATGCACAAGCCCATCATTCACTCTCACGTGACTGAGTTGGTACACAGTGAGGTCTATCTGCTCTCAAGTATTAAAATAAACACAGTCCTCGTGCACCAGTTTTAAAATTAAAGTAACTGTTTTCTTGTCCCATTTGGCAGTTTCATTTACTCTAGGCCACTGACCGATTAAGCGGAGGCACTTTCCCCATTACTGGCCAAACAAAGGACAGTTTCCAATGGACACTACTCATGCCAAAAGGTTCCAGGAGTTTGCATACTTAATTCCACGAGTGGGAAATGAAGGGGCAAACTGAAAAATGTACTGATCTTGTCTTAAAAACTGTGTGCATGAGCCAAAAAAACAGTGTAATGAGCCAAGTTATTCAGAGGCAGTGAAAAAGCTATCTTTTGGCACATACTGTATTGCCCTCCAGCATATATGCAAAACTACAATTCAAGTTGAGCAAAGAGACTTAATTTTCCTTCAAAAATTTTGGCAAAACAAGATTCTTCCCTCTTCAAGAAGCTGGAAGTAATTTTTTTAAACTAGCATCTGACCAAAACTCATGGGTTTCCCTTAATTTGTTGACATATGAGATACCTGCTGACTAGATGTGATGGCTTTTGGAGCCATTCTTAGAAACATAATGAAAGCAGCATGGCATAGGCTAGTTGCCACTACTAATGTGAAGACCAGCTGCTCTATAAAAATGACTTTGTTCTGAGGGGAATAGTATATAGTGAATCCAGCCTTTCTGCATCATCACACTGAGAAATCTGCCATCAGCGGAAGCCAAGGAACATTTCATCTCTTTAGCAGATACTTAAAATAGGCCACACAGTAGGTGGGAAGTTCTTTGTTTAGTGAACACAAATAATTCTTCTGATTGTCATTTTTCCTGGAATAAAATAGCACATCTGGACAGTCTGACATCCCTTCACCTTTGCTTGCATAGGGGGAATAAAAATGTTTGTGTTAAGTCTGTCAGGAATTGTGTCCGAATTTCACCATACATCCAAGAAGCCAAAAATTCTGCATTCCAAATCTGCAGCTATCAGATGCATTGAAGGCAGTGATATCATTTCACTGGAGACACTAACATCAAGTGTGACTGTAATCTGAATATAGTACATTTTAAGAGATACATCATGTAACGTTTATAGAGCAAGACTTACTTTATTTTAATGTATTTCTTAACAGACCAAACCTGGCTTTTTATTATTAAAAATGCTTATGAACTTCTAAAATGCCCAATATTATTTATGGAGATTTAATATATATCGAGAGCATCATAATTGGGTCCTAAGCAACAGATTCTCTTCTCTTATTTAGAGCCACTGATTTTACTTATTAAACTATAAATTTGAGTGACAGCGATATTCAAATACAGTTACGTACACCTACTGTTTTAAGAAAAAGTCATAGAAACACAAGGTATCCTTGTTGCTCAATCACAGCAATGATTCAGTGTTGGTACTTTGTAATGCACGCTGAAAAAGCTGAAGAATGGACAAAACTACAGGTTATACAAAAGAATAAAATAAATACAACAAGGTACAAAAGAGAGAAAGACCTTAGTAAAGAAGTGCTGCGGATTGCTATTCTGCTTATATAGTTGAACAACAATTTCTATTACTTTTATCTAGTTATTTGATGCTGCGGAACCCCTCCTTCTGTGCTGTGTTGTTCTCAGGGTCAGTATAAGGTATCACAAGGGCAGAGTACAGACCACACAAGTCACAACTGTCTCAGTAAGGTTACTGAGATGAGTTTACATGCCCCTTTAATACACACTTCCAGCCCATCTGAATGTAAACCACGGCAATAATTCAACTACAGTGTGTCAGGCTTTGAGTATCTGGAAGGGCAAGTAAAGACAGTTATAATAATTTGGGCAGACTGTGAAATTTTGCATTCTGCTGTGACTAAGAACACAGCTCACTGTTTTATTATAAACATTCCCTTTTAAATATGGATATCCTAAGATATCATACCCCTTCATTCAAATGAGAAATGTTCACTCTTAAATTCTTCTTGAATATTTAAAGTTTGCTATTTTGCTGAAATTGAGACACCAAGGAAAGAACTTGTTCTGAAGCTTTGATATGTTTTGTCCCGAGGTATTCTGCACTGTTACTGGCTGTGTCCTCTAAGAAATAGCGATAGTTTACCATCATGCCACATGAAGCAGTGATTCCGCGTGGGCTAGTGTCTCCCATCCAATTTATCCGCCATATCACTGCACCATTCTGAAGGTGAAAGTTTGCTACTGGATTAAGGGCATAGCCACGGTGCTTCTCTCCATATAGGTACCATGCACAAAGCCTCATAAATGGTAAATGCAGTGCTGTGACCAATCTTTCCGATCTCACCCATTCATTGTTAGTTAACAGTCTCTTTAGCTTTTCAGAAACAGGGTCACCTGTGATTTTAGAGATTTCTAGGCATTCTGCATCTGTAAACAATTCATTTCTTCCTTGTTCCTTTGTTTGTGAAGAAAGAAGTCCAATGAGCCACTTGGTAAATCCTGGGATAGGTGACAGACTAGAAAACACTTTGATCTGAGGAAATTCCCCCTGTAGACCAAAAGAAAAACAAACAAACAAAAAATTATAAACCAAGCATGATACTTGCTTTTTTAAAACTAATGAGAACTCTGACAAAGAACAATTGCTAATTATTCTAAAAACTGTTCAGGATAATTTAATGACAGGAGGGACAAACAGTTATGAGAAAAGATTCTCTTCTTTAGTCAAAAGGATGATTTATTACATTAGCTAATGGTGTGTACAAATACCACAAAAATCACCTGTCAACAACAGATTGGTTTCAAGTGTTTGCCATTTTGAGAATATTTTCTCCTTTACAATAATTATAATCTACACAATAAACCTTATCTAGGTCTATAGTAGGGGTGGGAAACCTTCTTTGAGGTCAGGGGCTGCTGACCTACAGGAAAATCAGTGGGGGCTGCACACAAGTGAGAAATAAACAAACAAGAAAACACTCACTGACATGGCCCCCAACTGAGAAGAGAAAGACACTCCCCAGTGCCAAGGGGGGCCCAGGCTAGCAGATGATGTACACTTCTGCTCCGTGGGGTGAGGGGTGGTAGTGGGGGGCTGGAGCACCAGCACAGGCTCCCCACTGCTGGGGGAGGGAGGGCTCCAAGCCTCAGGGGCCAGATTCAGGCAAGCCAGGGGCTGCATCCAGCCCCCAGGCCTTAGGTTCCCCATCCCTTGTCTATCGGGATGTGATGTATCCTTCAACAACATAGTACTGGGATATACTCTGTTATGGCCAGATATCAATATACACAAACCACCACCCAACCCATAGGATTAAGTGAAAGGATTTGGCCAGTATATAACTTTTTCCTGCATTTTTACAACTATTTTCTCACATAAGTACGTCTTCTGACAAAGAAATGTATGGATACTCAGGGGGGTATGGAATGAGGCTTAGACTAATTTTCTATAATAAACTCAAGAGGATTCTTTCTATTAGATACTTTAACTAGGCAGTGTGTCATTTTTAGATTTTAGGATGAATTGGTGCCACATATGCTAGAATTTTTCTGAATATAGCATTTACTGAAGTGTGAGAAGAGATTATATACCAAGGAACTACATTTCATATGTGGAGTTGATAGGATAACGAGCCTTGTGGATAAGGGAGAAGCGGTGGATGTCATATACCTAGACTTTAGTAAGGCATTTGATACGGTCTCGCATGATATTCTTATTGATAAACTAGGCAAATATAACTTAGATAGGGCCACGATAAGGTGGGTGCATAATTGGCTGGATAACCGTAGTCAGAGAGTTGTTGTTAACGGTTCTAAATCCTGCTGGAAAGGGATAACAAGTGGAGTTCCTCAAGGGTCTGTTTTGGGACCCGTACTGTTCAATATCTTCATCAATGATGTAGATATTGGGATAGAGAGTACGCTTATTAAGTTTGCGGATGATACCAAACTGGGTGGGGTTGCAACTTCTTTGGAGGATAGGGACATAATTCAAAATGACCTTAGCAAGTTAGAGAAATGGTCAGAGGTAAACAGGATGAGGTTTAATAAGGAGAAATGCAGAGTGCTCCACTTAGGAAGGAACAATCAGTTCCATACATACAAGATGGGAAGCGACTGTCTAGGAAGGAGCATGGCGGAAAGGGATCTAGGGGTCATAGTGGACCACAAGTTGAATATGAGTCAACAGTGTGATGCTGTTGCCAAAAAAGCAAATATGATTCTAGGTTGTATCAACAGGTGTGTTGTAAGCAAAACTCGTGAAGTCATTCTGCCGCTCTACTCTGCACTAGTTAGGCCTCAGCTGGAGTACTGTGTCCAGTTCTGGGTGCCACATTTCAAGAAAGATGTGGAGAAATTGGAAAGGGTACAGAGAAGAGTGACAAGAATGATTAAAGGTCTAGAGAAGCCTATGAAGCCAGGCTTCATGAACTGGGCTTGTTTAGTTTGGAAAAAAGAAGATTAAGGGGGGACATGATAGTGGTTTTCAAATATCTAAAAGGGTGTCACAAGGAGGAAGGCGAAAATTTGTTCCTCTTGGTTTCTGAGGACAGGACAAGGAGTAATGGGCTTAAAGTGCAGCAGGGGAGGTTTAGATTGGACATTAGGAAAAAATTCCTAACTGTCAGGGTGGTCAAATATTGGAATAAATTGCCAAGGGAGGTGGTGGAATCTCCCTCTGGAGATATTTAAGAACAGGTTAGATAGACATCTGTCAGGGATGGTGTAGGTGGAGCTTGGTCTTGCCTTGAGGACGGGGGGCTGGACTCGATGATCTCTTGAGGTCCCTTCCAGTCCTATTATTCTATGATTCTATGATTCTAGGATTGATTGTATTAGCCAGCCTTACTGGGCCCGGCTCTGCTGGGACCATGTGTGGCTCACTTTGCTATATTAATCAATAAAGCTGTCTGTTTAGCCGCCTAAACTGAGTAAGGCTTTTGCTTCGACACATACTATCCATGTGAACTACAAATAATGCTGATGACACTTTAAGATAAAATATGTATGCTGAGAATAACAGACTTGATCCTATCAATCAACATTTACAGAATCAATGTAAGCATCTTTTAGGTACTAACAGACATATCAACAGAAAACATTTCCTTTGGTAATTACAAAAAATTGCATGCCAGTTTTGAGGTGCACTGACATCAGGATTAGATGATGTCACCAAATTCATTGTCATTTGCATTTAACACATCAGCAATTACTTTGGCGATCAAGCATGGTGGCTCAAGGAGAAAGGAAGAAGCCAAAATGCAATAGCTCGGAGAGCTTTTCTAATTACTTTTCACACTGAAGAGGTGGAGGTCTCAGATATTTGTAGACTTTACAACAACATCCTAATGTCAACACAAAATTGCCTTTACAGTACGTTTTTCTATTTTGAGTATTTTCTAGATTATCATTAAAAAACTCATCTTCATTCAGATGCAATCTTAAATTGACAAATGCCAATGGTGCTAATGCTAGCAAATTCACTCTGGGCATTCTAAACATAACAGTGCCTGACCAAGTGTCATGCACAAATATTGGAAGCAGAGCCCCTTTAAGCTTATGGATGTCCAAAATTAGGACTAAAACCCCAGACCTCCTATGGATACCAAAAGACGTCAAAGAGGCACTTATGGGCTCCAGTCACATAGAACATCTTTCAGGACTGGAACCTAAGAAGCCTGAAATCAATTAATCTCTTCTCCCCCCCCCCAGTGCTACAGGATGCACTGCCCAAAACTGGCACTCTTTTGTCTGGCAACCCTGATTTTCCAGGATCAGAGAGCCCCATGAGCCTAGCAGCAAGCGGGCCATTCAGGAGTGACATTGGAGCTGGCAGCAACCTGGCCAGGGCCCAGGAGCAGTGAGGACAGCAACCCAGGAGGCAGCTTGACAGAGGCTGGGGATAGTGGGGCCAGCTAGGGCAATGGTGTTGGCAGCACTGATGGTTGGCAGGATGGAGGGCTGGTGGCAAGGGACCTCCTCAGTACAGCAAGGGTGCTGAACCAGGAAGGTCCAACCTGTACTTTTGTCTGAGTCTCTATCATAGTCCCATTCTTGTTAGTCGCAGTCGAACGGGGGTGCAGAGTCTTCCCATTATACTTGGCAAAGTTAGCTGGTCTTGGCTGTCAAGGGGTCTAGACACCCTTTTGGTTCTCAAGTCTCTGAGGAATGGAAAGGGAAACCCAGGCATACCCAGCTAGGTTCCAGCTCAATGCTCTGAAATTAGAAAGATGTATCAAGACTCAGCAACTCCTCCTGCTCTGTCATGAGTTCTTTTCCTACCTGCCTTGGTTCTATAAACTTTCCCAGCCCGTAAATCTTTCTCTTTGCTTTAATGTTGTCTCTGGCTGACTTTTTGCCAACTTGAGGGCAGGACCTTTTTTTTTTTTAAACCAATTTGCTTGCTCCTGGGTATCTGCCCTGCCCCTCTGCTTCTCAACTCTTCTGTTCTCCCAGCTTGCTGTGAAGCTACTAATCAGCACTGACAAGTGGTTGTTGTATTAACTCTTCTGTCACCAGACCAGCAAGGGTCTATACATACCACATATACACATTTCTGTACATATTCCAAACAATCTGAATGTAACTTAAAAATGGATTCCTCACACCAAACATTTAGAAGCTTGTTTGGTGCTGAAAAAAGCCATAATGAAATAAAAATAAAACCCAACCTATACTTTGACCTCACATGATAGATCGTGATTTGGCGGAGAATATCTATCAACTGAAATAGTATATTTAGCAATCATCAGGAAAAATAAAGCAAGCCATTCATAACATTAGAATGTCCTGACCATGTTGCCATCTGTTAGATAATATCCTATTAGCGAGGAAAACAAATGTTTATTCTGCAGAAGTTTGAGAAAAATACTAAATACTTGTTAGCCAAAGGAAGTCTCTGCCTCCTATTTGTTTAATGGTATTGTAGCACTGCCATGAAATCCATGCCCCCCCCCCCCACACACACACACACAAAATCAGAATAGTGGCAACTCTCCAAATTAAAAATAAATCAAATATACTAATACAATCCCTCTACTTCTAATTAATCTTTCCATTTAAAGCATTGCAGGACAACTGAATTCTGCAGATAAACATTTACTGTATTCTGTATTGCTGTAATTTGGTTAAATTTCTAGAAAATAGAAAGCATGTATACATCTGAAAATTCAACATTCTCTTCTTCCATGCATGACAACAAGTTTAAAAACCTTTGTTAAAATACAAGTCTATCATACAATTTACTAAAATACATCACTTACATGGTTTACTAATTGCTACAGTAAAGACTTACACTATACAATGATTTTCCATAACTTACAGTCCTAGAATGATCTCTCTCTTCATACCAAATCTCAGCATGCAATTCAATTTAAAGTAAGAATGAGGTGGCCAAAGAACAATACAGCATTGGTAGAATCAAAACCGTGAAACACTGAGCTGCACCACACTATGTACACACAATTTTAATATAAATATATCTAGTATAGATATAGATAGATATAGCTTGGACTGTCAAAGAGACCCAAAAGGAATGAAAAAAAAAAA